CATTCTTCATTTTCTGTAAGTAGGGTAAAGTTTTGGTAGTTTCGTTAGGTTTTATTGTTTTAAGGATTGGGTATGGGATTTGAGATCTGGCACTGCTTAAAAGATGTTTTGGCTTTTCTTTGTAACTAAGTTCTAGGCCCCTGGAGTTTCTCCATGAGTATATTTTGTTACCTCCCTATCTAGTCATTATGTTTGCAACAGGAATATTGTTGTAATAATAAAAGTTCTTTCTTTTCTTTTATTAACCTGGCAGTGGTTAATTGTGTGCCTTGATTTTTATCTTAGGGGTGAGATTTCCCAAATGATCTTCCCCCTGATTTCTTTATCAACATTTGGGTGGTGGCAGCGGAAGTTTTGTTCCCAAGATCTATGTTTTTAAGATTTTGGGGGAAGTTTTATACCAAAGCCTGGTAGATAAGGCTTTGGGGTACACTTGCTGGCCCCCACTTCTGCATTTATCATGCCAGAGTGGGGAAGGAGCCATGACAACTACTATGCTGTCTACACTGGCCCTTTCGGGCAAAAATCTTTTGGAAAAAGACTTTTGCCCAAATGGGAGCAGCATAGTATTTCCGGAAAAGCACTGATGATTTTACATTAGATCATCAGTGCTTTTCCAGAAATTCAAGCGGCCAGTGTAGACAGCTGGCAAGTTTTTCCACAAAATCATATGATTTTGCGGAAAAACTTGCCAGTCTAGACACAGCCCCTCTGTGTGGCCAGTTGTGTGGGATTACTGGGGGTAGGGATAATATTGTTTTTAAGTTAGAACATATTTTCTTTATCTGGAGCAAGGGTGGGCAAGATACAGTCTGCAGGCCAGATCTGGCCCACCAAGCCACTGGATCTGGCCCATTGGTCACCAAATGTAGCCAACTGGCTGCCCCGCTGGGACTCTAAGGCATAGAGCAGCTAGCTGCTTCCGAGCAGCCATACACTCTTAAAGCAGCTGGTTGCTCCCTGTGACTCTGCTCAGGGTGCTGGCGGGAGGGGAAGGCTTTCTGGAAATTGGCCAGTGGGAGCTGAGAGATTTTTGCTAGGATCGGGAGCCGTGCACGAAGACTACCCCTTTCCACAGTGCCTGGAACAGAAAGTACGGGGAGCAGCCAGCCATTTTGAGCAGCCTGGAGCTGTGGCAGGCAGGGAGGCTGCCTTGAGGAACATCTACACACAGCAGGGCTAAATAAGCTATGCAATTTGAGCTATGATAATTGTGTAGCTTAAGTCAAAATAGCTTATTTCGACCTTTGGCGTTGTCTACCCAGCAGTTATTTCGAGACACAGTGCTCTTCCTCCAACTTCCCTTACTCCTCATACAATGAGGGTTACAGGATTTGGAGTATGCAGTTCTACAGCTTGACATATTTCAAAATTATGTTGACATAACGGCTTGTGTGTAGACGCAGACTATATTATTTCGGAAATACATCCGTTATTCCGAAATACCGCTGCTGTGCAGACATAGCCTTGGGGTCCTGCAGGGCTGCTTACTGGGAGCTATCTAGGTAAGCACCTCCCAGTCACAGCCTACCTCTGGCAGCCCTTTCCTCCCCTAGCTCCCTGCCTCAGGTCACCGCCCCATTCTGCCCCAGGTCACCATTCAAATCACTTTCCCATCTTCCTTCTTCCCTCAGGACACAACTCCCTCCCAGACCCTGTACCCCTTTCTACACCACTCCCCCAGACCAAAATCCTCTCCAGCACCCATATCCCCTCTTGGAGCATGCACCCCAAGCCCTTGCCCAAGATCACAGCCTCCTCCTTCACCCACCCTCCGTCTCAGACTCCATATCCTCTCCTATACCCCAGTCCCCTACCCCAAGCTCCCTTCTGCACCCAACCTCCATCCCAGCTCCTGCACACCCATCGTGGAAAAGTGCAGGGGCTGGGATAGAGGTGGGGTGCAGAAGGGAGCTCAGGGTACAGGATTGGGGTGCAGGAGAGGGTATGGAGTCTTACCAAAATCTTGGCATGGCCCCCTATCAAAAATGATTGCCCATCCCTGATCTAGAGGAATGAAAAAAAACCCAAACTTGGTTCTTTGGTTTTAGAGTGTAAAAAATCCTACAAAGAAACTACTTCCTGCTTATCTCAGCCACTAAACCCAACCCTCCTTGTTTCAGGTTTTCTTTTTAATGAGTCATAGTGGAATGCCCTTCCTTCCATAAAGCAGCTCCTGAAGTCTCTTTGAGGTGAGCCAATTCTCTCTTCTTGCTTCTGTGAGGCTGCTTAACCCTTTTACACACTGTTGTCACAATGAGGCTGCTTATCCCTTTTACAAAGCCTGTCACAATGATTCCTAACTCGCTCCTCCTGTCAGGGACAAACAAATTGGGTGTGCCCTTGGCAACAATGGCAGTGAAACAGAATGCTGTGTGTAGTATAAGCACATTTAACGTTATCATGGGTGCTCAGAGAACAGGGTTGCTTTTTTTTCTTCAAAACACAGCTCTAGACAGACTGGAGCCAGAGCAGAATGTGAATGTGTTTTGCAGCCATAACTGTATTTTAATTAATAACAAAACATGTAGATGGTATCATGAGCTTTTGTGGGCACAGCCCACTTCTTCAGATGACTGTAGTGATGGATGTCCAGAACCAAAAATAAATAAGGAAGGGGAGAGGAGGAAAGGGAAGAGGGGAAAAAATGGGAGAGGGGGAAAGAGGCAGTGGGTATCTAATATCAAAGGAAAAGCTGAGCAGTATGTAACAGGTAAAACTGATAGTCTATAAGCAGGGAAAGACTGGATAGTTAAAAGAAGCAGATAAGAACCATTAGTTAGCAATTAGAGAGGAAGTGTACTAACACCAGATTCTACACAGACAAAGAACCATTGGCACCTTCATTGTTTGGTTGGTTGATAACGTCCCAGCCATCCAGTATCTCAATTCAGACCATTGGCATGAGAATTAAACTTGCGAATTAATTGTAGTTCCAACCCTTCCCTGTGTATTTGGCTTGTGGAATTGGTCTGTAACAAAACAGCAACTTGAAGATCTCTTAATGAGTGACCAGGCAGATTAAAGTGTTCACCAACAGATTTATGTACGATCCCTTTGCGGATATCTGATTTGTGTCCATTGATTCTTTCCCGTAGGGACAGTCCTGTTTGTCCAATATATATAGCAGTGGGGCATTGCTGGTATTTGATGGCAGAGATCACATTACTGGATGTGCAGTTAAATGAGCCTCTGATTTGGTTGCTGATGTGGTTGGCTCCAGTGATGAATTCGCTCATATAGATGTGTGGGCAGACCGGGGCTGGTTGCAGGGCTGGGTTCCTGGATGCTTATGATGTAGCTGTGTAGCATGGTTACTGGAAAGAATTTGTTTCAAGTTGGGGGGTTGTCTGTAGGTGAAAATAGGCCTTTCCCCCATGGCCTCTGAGAGTGAGGGATCATTTTCCAAGATAGGTTGCAGATTGTGGATAATGCTTTGGAGGGGTTTAAGTTGTGGACTGTAGGTAATGACAAGTGGAATTCTGTTGTTTTCTCTTTTGAATCTGTCTTGAAGTACTGTCTGGGTACTTTTTTGGCTCTGTCAGTCTGTTTTTGCACTTCTCCAGGTGGGTATTTCAGTTTTAGGAATGCTCTATATAGATCCTGTAGGGCTGTGTCTAGACTGGCAAGTTTTTCCACAAAAGCAGCTGCTTTTGTGGAAAAACTTGCCAGTCTAGACACAGCCCTACAGGATCTATATAGAGCATTCCTAAAACTGAAATACCCACCTGGAGAAGTGCAAAAACAGACTGACAGAGCCAAAAAAGTACCCAGACAGTACTTCAAGACAGATTCAAAAGAGAAAACAACAGAATTCCACTTGTCATTACCTACAGTCCACAACTTAAACCCCTCCAAAGCATTATCCACAATCTGCAACCTATCTTGGAAAATGATCCCTCACTCTCAGAGGCCATGGGGGAAAGGCCTATTTTCACCTACAGACAACCCCCCAACTTGAAACAAATTCTTTCCAGTAACCATGCTACACAGCGAAAATCATGCCAGTCTAGACGTAGCCTAGGTGTTTGTCCCTGTCTGTGGGATTGGAGCAAATCCGGTTATATCTTAGGGCTTGGCTGTATACAATAGATTGAGAAACGTGTCTGGGATGGCTGTATATAATAGATTGAGAAATGTGTCCAGCTTCCGTCCCCTCCCCCACTTCCATATTTATTTTTGGTTCTGGACATTCAACATTCTGGTCATCTGAAGAAGTGGGCTGTGCCCACAAAAGCTCATGATACCATCTTCATGTTTTGTTAGTCTTTAAAGTGCTATCAGACTATTTGTTATTTTTTAAGTTTATCATGTACAGACTAACTCGGCTACCCTTCTGAAGCTGTATTTTAATTATTATTAGTAGTTAATCAGAAATATAAAAGTCAAGGCAACTTTTGTGGTAGGGAGAGATTATGCATTTGTTTCTCTTGAATTTGTGAAGCTACAGGTTCTGTTGCTAATGCAAGTGTAGGAAAGAGAATAGTCTTATAGGTGAGGCAGCTGGCCGAGATGCAGGAGATCTATGTTCAGTTCTCAAGTCTTTCATAGTTTTCCTATGTACCCTTACGTAAATTTCTTACTGCCCAAGCTATAAAATGGATGGTTATTCCTTTGGGCATTGTTGTGGCTTGTATGGGTTGCCACAATGTGTGTAGCTCCATGTACTGTTTTTGCGGGTTTCAGACTTTGAACTCGGCATACCTGTCTGCCTCGCATCTCTTTTCTTGTAGTATTTTAAATTCTCAATCATGTTCACCTGTGTCAGAGCATTCTCCACCCTCGATAAGCTTTATTTTGGACTGGCTGGCTTTGGTTGGCAAATTAAACAGTGCTTTGAAAATGGTTCATTCTGTGTCTTTCAGTCGTCTTGCTCTAATTTTTTTGTGTTTTTTTTTTGTTCTAGAATTTAAATCATGCGCAAGTCTCTTATCAGGGGCTCAGATTCCCTCCCTACCTCCAAATTGCAAGATTGTTTTTTCTCCCTCAGGTCAGTCACCTGCTACTCTATAATTTCACCTTCCTGTGGTTCCCTGTGATTAAAAATTATATCCTTCATATTATGTCTCATTTTTCAATACACCTCCGATTTCTGTACTACAGTTCCATCCTGTGCCTGAATTAACTGATACATATTTAAACACATCAAATGCTTCAGAACCAGTCCCTGACAAATATAAGGCTCCTTTCTGAATGAAGTGCTATTTGAACTTTCTCCAATTGTCTGCCACATGTCCTAAGAGTTTTTCAGGTCTGTTGGAGCTTTTAACTGCTCAATTTTTCCACTCAGAGTATTTTCTTAATTTCTTTTTACTCCTGGTACCATGCAGGCAGTAATTATTCAGTGCTTGAGGTATTTGCAAGAGATTTAGTTTATTCTGTGCGTGGCTCGTGCATAACAAGAGCTTTAAAGGGCACCACCTAGAGCCTCTCTGGGAATCTTTGTCCTTATAAACTTTTCAGCATCATGCCCCCCTTTTTGATTTTTGAGAAACCCTCACGCCCCCCCCCTCCCAAAAAAATAGCAGCAAAACTTGGGGTGGAATTGATGGTGTGTGTGTGTGGCTGGGTCACCTAGCACCCCCCCTGGAATTTCTTCATGCCCCCCAGTTTGGGAATCCATGTTATAAAGGGTATCCCTTTCCCTGCCTAGACAGGCCACTAAGGCCTAGTCTACACTTAAAACTTAGGTCAATATAGCTAATGTTCATGGACAGGAACACCCACATGCTTGAGTGCTGTAGCTAAGGAAGACTAACCTAATCCCCAGTGTAGACGGAATAGTTTGGTCAGCGGACGATTGCTTCTGTCATCCCACAGTTCCATGGCACCTTAGGCCTGGTCTACACTAAGTTAATTACGTAGCTGGAGTCAACGTATCTTAAACCGTGTTTCTACACCATCCACGCAGAAGGAGGCCAATGGTAACAAATGCTCCCATTGGTTTCCCTTACTCCTCACGAAAGGAGGAATACCAGACACCAGCTGGAGCTGCCCTCAGCATTCAAAGTATAGGTTCATACTTGATCCGCTACATTGAATGCCAGAAGATCAATCTCTGGAACATTTTTCTTCCTCATAGTGTAATTGTGCCCTTAGAGACTAACAATTTTATTTGGTCATGAGCTTTCATGGGTAAAACCCATCTTTCATTAGATGAGTTGAAATTATAGAATCTGAGAATATATAACAAAAAAAGAAGTTACCTGTTAATCGTAGGACCAGTGTTAATTAAGCTAATTAAGTCAGATGCAGCATTTGATGTGGCACTCAGAAAGGTGCTGTTCTTACACTGACAGAAAAACTCCTTCCTTCAGTTGTAGGCTGCATCTATGCTATGGGATTATGTTGGCATAGCTACAGAGCTATAGCTATGCTGCCACATCCTCTTAGTGTAGACGTAGCCTATGAATCTTCTCTTCAGATTAACTGTAGTATCAATTTGTTTACCTTTTGTTTCAGAGGTGAATTAGAGAAGACTAGGATTCTTCCTCTGCAAACAAATGAGGGCCAGACAAATATGTGACAATTGTATCGGAGGACAAGAGGACAGAAACTGTGATGGGAGAGGAACATCGGTCAGAAATATTTCTAACAAACAAAAAGCCTTTCACATCCTCACTTTTTTGGCGCTCAAGATTTCATTCCTCTTTCATTTAAATTTTGGAGTTTTTCAGCCAGAGGAAGTGAGAAGATGAGGTGATTTCTTTGTTTCTGTCAAGCACCTTGAACATGGGAGCCAATCATAGCAGAGTTATTAGAGTCAATTAGGGTAGATTTGCATATTCACAACATGGCTATTGAGAAAAACTCTACAGAGAGATTGCAAATCTAATAATGGCTGTCAGCCAGTTAGAACACAGTGATTAGCATAGTGTATGGTAATTGAGAAATAACCACATAATTATTATGCAAATTGGGCACCCATAACCAATCAGTGTGCATGGAATTACACAGCTGGGAAAAATGTATTATGAGTCAGTAACTGTATGGTGTCCCTGCATACTGAAAGAGGTTAATCTACAAATAATTTACATAAAACGTGATGGCATCTGTCAGATGAGTTTTTTGTTCCTCGATCAGTTCCCATTTACAATTTTTACCAGCTAAAAAATTTTACTGACTGATCTTGTGAACACTTTGCAGGGCTGGGCCATGAACAAGAGAGCCAAGAACTGACTGGTATGGAAACTGCTCTGTCCTTTCACCTTCTAGGGACCTACATGCATTGTCAAGGCAGCATGCAGGAAAGGTTGCACTGCAACTACCTGTGCAATACCTATCCGATCTATCTGTCAAGCAATTTTCTCCAGAACTAAACTCTGCACTACACTGGAGCTAGGTTGACACAAAATAGCTTATGTTAATCTAATTCATGGGGGCGACGTCTACACTGCCCCCACTTGTGCAAAAAATATGCAAATGAGGCAAAGTGTGCAATATTGCCCTACCATATTTGCATAATTGAGGCTTCGTTTTTGTGCAAAAAAACCTCTTGCGCTAGAGCCATTCTTCCTGAAAAAAGCCTAACTGTCTATACTGAAATGTAGCTTCCACTGATATAATTCACCTACTACAAGGACTTGATATCATTTCACCTCCACGAGAGGTGTAGCACTGAAGTCAATGTGATAGGTTGATGCAGTGCCAACGTAGACATTGCATTGTTTACATCAACTGTTGTTGCTTTTTAGAAGCTGTCCTACAATGCCGCACACTGACAGTGGAATCAGTGCAAGTTAAATCGATGATTATGCGTACCCCCAGTCAAGGGAGTATAATGTGGATATGCAAGATAGATGTAATCATGGTGGTGGCTATAGAGTGATGAAACCTAGGTCAACTAATTTTGTAGTAGAGGTTTGCCTAAAGCCTCACCAGGATTAAAGCAGAACGCTAACCATAGAAGAACAATTTACATAAGCACTACCCTTGCCACAATGCTCTATATTACTTATATATTTGTATGCCCATTATTGATAGTATTTATCAAATCCACATTAGACTGATACCTACTCCCAGGCTACGTCTAGACTGGCATGATTTTCCAGAAATGCTTTTAACGGAAAAGTTTTCTGTTGAAAGCATTTTCAGAAAAGAGTGTCTAGATTGGCACGGATGCTTTTCCGCAAAAAAGCCCCGATCACCATTTTCGCGATCGGGGCTTTTTTGCGGAAAACAAATCTGAGCTGTCTACACTGGCCCTTTTGCGCAAAAGTTTTGTGCAAAAGGACTTTTGCCCGAACCGGAGCAGCATAGTATTTCCGCAAAAAGCACTGATTTCTTACAGTAGGAAGTCAGTGCTTTTGCGGAAATTCAAGCGGCCAGTATAGACAGCTGGCAAGTTTTTCCCGAAAAGCGGCTGATTTTCTGGAAAAACTGGCCAGTCTAGACACAGCCCCAGTGTGTGTAGGGGGGAACACAATGTAAAGTGGTACATTTGACCACCCTGTATGTCTCCTCAGCCCAGGACCACCTTCCTGCCGCACTCCCAGCCCAAGGACACCATGAAGTCCCTGACCTCTGCCATGTTCAAACACCCTCCCTGCCAACTGTGTGGGAGTGGGATGGAGCCACGTCTGATTCCCTGGTTGGGAGGCAGTGGCAGACCACTCCCAA